ATGACAGATACTCTACTTCTGTCGTAAAATTCTGAGATCGATTTGGTCCGGACAGTGGTTAGTGTCTCTGAGGCAGTCACGACTCGGTGAGTTCTGCTTTATTTTCGTGCTTCGGAATTCGGGTGTACGAAGAAACGAGCAGGCTGATAGGCTTGTGAGGAATTCTACTGGGGGTATATGGTGGTGGACGAGCCGTGGACATGGCTGACGTACTGAATTCTCTGCGAGAAGTAAGACGTTTACCAGAACCAAGCGACAACATTAATTCCTCAAATATGGTCTGACTGTTAGAAAAGCAGTGTGACCACACAAAGAGTTCTACGCAGGAAGCCAAAGAAGAATGATAAACCAAAATAGAACTGGTGTCTCCAGTCGCTACACGCTGCGGGATTTATTAAAGAGGAGATCCGAGCACCTATTGAATGAATCTGTGCAGTTAAACTGACCTAAAGACTAGCTAACTAACTTTTGCATTTCATTTTTTTTCCCTTTTACACCCCTACCATGGGTGGCCTTTTGTGCTACATGTAAAGGGAATCAACTCAAGATTAAACTTTAAAAATGGAGTATGATTTTTTATGGCAAGAGTTTTACCCCCTTAAATGTAACTATTCTAGCCTTTCATTGTGAAACAGGGAAGTATGGAAGGCTCAGTTCCTGGCGATACAAATTAAAACCAGGAATGAAGTTTCTCATAACTATAGCATAAAATCTGAGCAGTACTGAGGAAACCATGTTCTATGCATAGAGTGACCACAATATTTAGAGCCGAAAATGGGACATCCATAATATTTAGAGCTGCCAGCGGGACATCGTCATAATATTTAGAGCTGCCAGCGGCACATCGTCATAATATTTAGAGCTGCCAGCGGCACATCGTCATAATATTTAGAGCTGCCAGCGGCACATCGTCATAATATTTAGAGCTGCCAGCGGCACATCGTCATAATATTTAGAGCTGCCAGCGGCACATCGTCATAATATTTAGACCCGAAAACGGAGATCGCCATAATATTTGGAGAGCTTGTGCAAATCCCAAGATAAGCTCAAATCTGAAGCAACCTTTGCACTACATGCTCTTCAAGAAAAAGGGAAATAGACTTCAAATGGGCAAATCATGGCTTGGTAGGGCAGAGGATGACATCATGCAGATTTGCAGCCTTACAGATATCCATTAAGGTGAGAACTGGATACCAGCGTCTAAAGCGCCCAATCTCACTTTCTTCTGTGTCGTGACGCTCGATGGGAGTTGTCGGGAGCAGAATGCAGCTGCTGTCAATGCCGAGGTTTGCTTGCTAATCAGTGACAAGTCAGACGAGACAGATGTGGTGATTTTCACAGACGGGTCCGTTATTCGAGGACATAAGAGTGCATGGGTATTTACAGTTCACTCTTCAGGCAGAAGAGTTCAAGAAGCCAGCGGTGCCTTCTCCGTGACTACCAGAAACATGTAATGTAATGTAATGTTAGTTTCAGTTTCATAGCAAAAGGGTCATCTCATAGTTTCTCCGCTGCTGTGCCAACGAGAAAACACACAGAATGTTCATCACAGTCCCTTGTGGAAAGATTGACAGACTGCTATCTCAGCATATGTACTTACTAGCGTACACATGCATTAAAGGCATACGGTAGCCATCAGAAGTGCTAACACAAACAGTCCGACATTAGAAATGCAGTTCATCATCGACGGTAGCAGAGGTAACCAACGAATCAGCAGTTGCACACGCGATCAATTTTAATCATATAAGGGTTAAGGTTAGTTGCGTATCCTTTACAGGACTTTGCATAACCAACCCCAAAAGCCCCTGGCTGTTGTGTGGTTTTTCTAGGCAAATTTACGTCCACTAGTTTGCCATTGCTTCCTGGAAGGTCGGCTTCTTGATACCACTGCTGAAACCAACGCAAGGGGCATGGCCCGCAGCTGGGATCAAACCCGGCATCCCGGCATTACGAAGCGTTCGCATTGACTTAGCCACAGAGCCGACAATCACATAAGGGTACCACCAATATTGTGACGACAGACCACACGCCATTTCTGAATCTACAATTCACAACACAACACCACGTTGGTCACAGTCGAAAAACATTCCAAATGAAATCTGCAGCTCACTGGGTCGCACCATGCACTCAACGCAGTAGCTGGGTGACGAAACTATATCCTTACAGTCTACGAATAGAGCAAAAATGCAGAAGCAAAAACTTTGCCACGACTCGAAACAGTGACCGACCAACAGCAGCATGACAATAGAGGTGATGGCGGTGACACAGGCTTTCATGTGGCTAGAATCACAGGACTATTCCCGAGTGTGTGTGTTGAGTGATTCTTTGAGCATGATCCAGGGGGTCGAGGCAGGCTGTTTACTCAGACAATGGTTTCAGTTGTTGCAAAGCTCTCCCTTGTGTGTACAGTTACCTTCATATTCGTCCCAGGAATGCAGGCGTTGTTGGTAACGAAAGGGCTGATAGACTGGCAGGTGCTGCAATAATTAAAAAAGACCAGCCCATGGATCACTCAGACATTGTCAATGCCCTAAGAGAGATTTGACGTTCTGAGGATTTTGGAAGCAACGTGACCACGTCACTGCTGAGAATACGAGAATTAGGAGTAAAGATCGGTACAGCCAAGCATGAGAAGCACACCGGACGCACACGAAGTCTTGTTAACCAACACAGGATTGGTATTATTAACCTCGCGATGCTGATGAATATGTTGAGAGGGGAATCCGAGCACCTATGGATGTGTCCGGAGTGCTGTGAAGATAATCTAACTCATAACTAATTTAGATCTTAAAGCGGGTCATTACCATAATACTATAGGCTGAAGGCGGGACGAATCAAGCAAATCAGTCCCTTTTCATCCCCCCCCCCCCCCCATTACACTGCACAATGGAAGCCGCTGTGGTGTAGCGGCTAGACGCTAGTCTGTGGATCGGAAAGTCGTGGGCTTGGATCCTGACGAAGCCAGACTTTTTTTTTTCAAAAATTACCTTTGCTCCCAGGTCAACCCAGCCTTGATGGTTGGGAGAGGGGGGGGGGGGGGGTGCCAGGTATAGTCTAAAGAAGTAAAGGTGACCGGCCTGATACTGACAACACCACCCACCAAGTGCCCATTGATCTATATATGCCACCCAATACCTATATCGGCCTTCTCTGTTAACTCCAAAGGAAATGTAAACAGATCAGCCTTAGGGTCGGGATTTATAATCATAGTTGTCTTTCTATTTCCGTTTTATTTGTCCCAGGACAAGGGTAGACTTGGCTGTAGGGTCACCTCAAGCCGGTTGTGCCTCTTCGGTCACGCATAACGATACTGACTGTAAAAGAGTTAATCACATCACGGGAGTTATTATCCGAACGCGCCCCTTTCAGCCAACATTTACAAATGCTCATAAGGCTTCAGGACAATCCCAAAGGACAACAACTGGTGTGTTCCGCTGTCCGAGAACCTTGGTATGTATTGTCCTTGGTCTCGCTGACCCTTCGACCCTGATTATGCAGCTAAATGGGTACTCCACTTCGTCTAAGAACAAGGCATTCTCCAGCTAATCTGGTGAAGGCGTTGCCAAGAGTTTCCTGTAGATTAACTAGGTTTACTGATCCTGCAGACAAGTACAAATTGACAGGTTAAAACTGCTGACCACAAATGACGTCACGAGACAGTAAAATATTTTAGAGGGTGGCAAGTGCGGGTTTTTTCCCCGGGGTTTCTGTGCTCCTAAGGCCAAGGTTTTCGCGCGTTTACCTAACCCCAACCCTAACCCTAACCATACGCATAATTTACCAACCCCTGAAATATTTGACTGTCCCGTGACCTGTGAATTTTCCCTGTGTGCGCATCCCGTAAATCTGAGAAAGAGAATGCTTGTGACATAGGTTGCAGCACTCTCTAGGGCGGTTGTGTTAGGGCCAGTCCTGCATATTTTTGGAGCGTTAACAGGGCTGGCGTGCTGAAATATACAAGACGCGATATCAACAGCATCCTTGAACACCCCGTAACCGTGTGCGAAGGTGACAGGTTCAGGAACTACCAATTAGAAGTGACCTAGTGTGTAAATAGGCTGGGCGTGGGGAGGTTTGCGTTATGTTTACCCTCCTTTGTTTGTGGTGGTCGGCTAATAAGAAAGTACCAGACGGCATTTGAGGAAAATTAAGAACATTTTGTGCAATAAATCTATGTCGTTGAAGGCGTGGAAAGTATGACAAGACCCCCACGTCCCCCTTGAATATATGGCACGACCCCCCACCTCGTGGGGCATAACTCCACATCAGAAATGGAAAGAGTTGCTTACAGTAGAGCGGAGTGGATGAATGGAATGGGGGCCATGTGACACCTAATGCGTAGGCACGTACACTCATGGCAGAGGGGCGAACAGGTGCAGAAGTGCTCAGCCCCTTTTTCTTCTAGATAGCCTTGTTGTTGTGCGCACTCATACTAATGTTTTTTCTTGTTGTAAACTGAATGGTAAATAAAAGTAATAATATTTGTGAAATAATAAGAAACGTTAAAAATGCTTTTAAAAAGATCGTCTATGGGTAGACTATATATGGGAAACAAAAATGAGGGAGAGCGGATGGGGGGGGTGGGGGGGGGGAGGGTGGTGACTTGGCTGTTAATTCTGTTAAGGCCTGCCCATACTCCCACCATCTAACCGCCATGGGGTGTGAGCGTGCCTGAGCACCCACGTTCCGGCGCCCTTCCTAAACACTATCACGTTAGGAAGTAGGTGCTTTACCTTTGTCACCTGGCGTCATTAACTTCCAATTGTTACAATTACGTAACATTAGCCGGCCAAAGTTGCAGCCTGTCCACTTTAGTCCTATCCACTAGCCACAAGTATTTCCACCAATGGCAAGTGAGGGAACCGTCAGCCCGGGTCTGTCGAGGCGGGAAGCTTGTGGTTGTCAAGACTTTCGATGGTCTCTTCATTTTCTGTCCCGGTCTGTCGCCGGCCGCTTCGTTTTCTGCTCTAGTCTATGCCGGCCGATCGTCTGCCTCCAACATGGATGAGAGTTCGATGGAGAACTTTCAGAAGATTGAGAAGATAGGTGAAGGGACTTATGGCGTTGTGTATAAAGCGAGGGAGAAAACGTCGGGCAAGTTTGTGGCTCTCAAAAAAATCCGTCTTGATGCGTAAGTTTCGAAGTTATGTTTTTAATAATAAGTTATAATAATAATTAACTGCGATTGATTGATTATTGACGTTAGTTTGTTGCAGTTGAATGAGTGCATTCATTCAGTCATGAACTAGCGTCTGTAAATCCGCGTTGCTGTGAGTCTGAACTCTGAGCACAGATGATTGGCAGGGTCTTGGGTAAACTTCTGAGAAGTCTTTTCTTACTTTCCCACTTTGGTCGTGGACGAGTCCTGTCCATTGTGACAACAATGAAACCATGAATTCATGCTCGATGTTTTGTGAACCGTTTGACCTTTGGTTTTGGACCTTGTGATAGCAAGATGGCTAATAATAGGGTGATTTCCTGAACACCCCATGAACCACTTGTGAACTTACCTATTGGGGTTTTATGTTTCTTGAGTATCCAACATTTCGATTTATTAATTTAAAATTAAACTGTTAAAGCTGAGTTTAACAGGATAATACCACTTTCAATACTTTCATTGATTATTTCTAATTGTCACAGAGACCCCTCACCCTTTGTTTACTTGCATACACAGAACATATTTCTTTTGTAGGGTGGTTTTGTGAGTCCTATTTCAAATTTGTACTCTGTAGTATTGAAATATAGTCTTAGGAATATTGTCTAGTCTTTTGGTTTGAGTTATAGTGAGTATCAGGTAAAGTCCTGGGAAGTAAAGGGGCCAGTATCAGTATGATGCTGACCGCCATCTATTGCGTGATAGTTGCAGATGTTCGAGGGCTGGCAAACAGTTTTACAGGGAATCCCATAAGTTTTTTTTAGTTTCCATATGCAGAAATAATAAACTCATCACCAGTGCCGTTATAACGAGCACAACTTACAACTGTTTATACACGTTCTTTAGCAGTGAACACAAATCGAAATGTTTTTTCAAAACAGTGGTATTTTTGTATGGAAACTTACGAACACCCTGTATATATATATATATATATATATATATAAAGATTAATTTCCGTTTGGTTAGTAAGTTAGCTGTGCTGAGGGCAACCGCACCTGTTTTCAAGAACATTTTGTCTCATAAATGAATCAACATATTTTACTGAACAGAGCACCATTTAGTCTATCCATGGATTCTTTAGACGTATTAACTAAAATAAATTATATGAAAAGAGGATAGATTAGAAGGAATGGAGGAAAAGCCAAACTGGGGCCAGAAATAAATAACATAGACGTATTCAGCATTTATGGGCAGATAATGATAATATGTTAGTCATCAGATCATCCTTATTGCACAGCAAACCATTCAGACCATAACACCAATTTTGTGCTCATTTACTATTTTTCTCAGTAACTTACAAACTTAAGCTTCAAAACTCAATTTTTTTTTTTTTGTTTTTGTGAGGGAAAAAAAAATAATTATATGTACCAACAAATGTGGTTTTGCACTATACAGTCCCACATAAATATCAGTCTGTTGTTTATAGTAGATTTTGTTACTTCTGCAGGGAGAGTGAGGGAGTTCCCAGCACGGCCATTAGGGAGATCTCCCTGTTGAAGGAGTTGGATCATCCTAATGTTGTCAGGTAGGGCTTGTTATACACTAGATCAGTACATGTTAGACCTTCTGAGAAATAATTTCTCAATGCCGATTTGAACCCATATCATTCAGGCCCACAGGCATTCATTATGTTGAAGTTATGTATTCATGCCCCTTCACTGTCTTATAATCAGCAGCTCAATCCAGTTTAGGATAAGTTTGTGTGCTTTGGTTTAAATAGGGCCCCCTTTCTTTGGCCCACCAGCATTTTCAGTAATCGATCTCCATGTCTTCTGAAAATACACGGTGAAAACAAAGGCAATGAAAGTAAACAATGATTCGGATTGAACTTGACAAAAATCTCACTTTTAGATGCAATGTGCAATGATCGGATTGCAGTCTTGAGGGACACCTTTACTGACCCTCCTGGCGCAAGACTACCGCCACACTGTGCACCTGGGTAATAGCCTACATTGGCCTAAAAAGATATGGTGGAGGATCTTGGAGGTGGTGGCCCTCAGAGATGCAGTGTCCAGATACCCTGTGCAGCTCATCAGTTTATCCCTAATGCAGAGATGAGTCTATAGAGAACTCACTTACAGTAAGCAAAGTTCACAGCCCAAGCCTCCTACTAAATGACAAAGGTTCAGAATTCTTTCAGTTGAGAGTCCTACAAAGTGACAACTAAAAGTACAGATTAGTTACAATAATCCTAGAGATAATTTAAACGTTTCCTTTGAAGTCAGAGTTCATGTGCCTGGTAGGCAAGAAAACAACAGACTGCACATCTGTGTAAAACTAATGCGCACACAAAACTTTGTCCCCGGGAACAAAGCCAAAGCCCAGATAAAGCTGATAAACTCTGGTTTTCTGTTGAAATTTTCAGTCAGTGAAAACAAAAACATGTGGAGTTGAAAACTTATTTAGTTAGCAGTGAAGATAAAGCTGGGGGGTGGGGGGGGGGGGGGTGATTAAGATAGGTAAAGATGAGAGTTTAATGCACTGGGTTTTATCTCATTTTGCTCAGTCTCTCTACGCAGAACAGCTATCTAGCTGCCAAGAACATCGCACAGAGCATGACCTCCATAGCTCCGGCAACAATCCCCAATGATCTCCGTACAAATTACACTTCTAAACTGGATGGCGCCGCTTTGAAGCCAACCTTCAGAGCACGAGGCAAATGGCTTCGCCACGGAGACCCGAACCCCCTTCCCCCACCCACCCTCCCGGGATAAAGATACATGAATACAAAAGGTTTCCCAGCACACAAAACTGTAGACATTACAGGAAATTAAAACTGCTACTCATGGTATCTTGAAATAATCAATACAGCTTCATAAACCTCTTATTGTTCATCTCAGTGTTTTGTGTTCCTGTTGCTGGTAATCCTGTTATGATGAGCCTGTTGCTGGTAATCCTGTTGTTGATGAGCCTGTTGCTGGTAATCCTGTTGTTGATGAGCCTGTTGCTGGTAATCCTGTTATTCATGAGCCTGTTAATGGTAATCCTATTGTTGATGAGCCTGTTGATGGTAATCCTGTTATTGATGGTAATCCTATTGTTGATGAGCCTGTTGATGGTAATCCTGTTGTTGATGAGCCTGTTGATGGTAATCCTGTTGTTGATGAGCCTGTTGATGGTAATCCTATTGTTGATGAGCCTGTTGATGGTAATCCTGTTATTGATGAGCCTGTTGATGGTAATCCTGTTGTTGATGAGCCTGTTGATGTTAATCCTGTTATTGATGAGCCTGTTGCTGGTAATCCTATTGTTGATGAGCATGTTGCTGACACCTGCAGGCTGCTGGACGTGATTCACTGTGAGGTCAAGTTGTACCTGGTGTTTGAGTATCTGACCAAAGACCTCAAGAAGTACATGGACTCCTTCCCCAGCAGCGAAGTCATTAATCCAGCTCTTATCAAGGTTGGTCTGTAGATTAGTGTTCCTCCTGTTTTATGTGATATAGAATCCTAGCCTAGTTTGTGTAAAGGGGGGGGGGGGGACAAATTGAGGAGCCAGTGCATTTACCAGTTAGCCCAGTCAGCTTGGGTACAGAGTGACCAGTGCATTTACCAGTTAGCCCAGTCAGCTTGGGTACAGAGTGACCAGTGCATTTACCTGTTGGCCCAGTCAGCTTGGGTACAGACAGAGTGGCGAGTGCATTTACCTGTTGGCCCAGTCAGCTTGGGTACAGAGTGACCAGTGCATTTACCTGTTGGCCCAGTCAGCTTGGGTACAGAGTGACCAGTGCATTTACCTGTTGGCCCAGTCAGCTTGGGTACAGACAGTGGCGAGTGCATTTACCTGTTGGCCCAGTCAGCTTGGGTACAGAGTGACCAGTGCATTTACCTGTTGGCCCAGTCAGCTTGTGTACAGACAGAGTGGCGAGTGCATTTACCTGTTGGCCCAGTCAGCTTGGGTACAGAGTGACCAGTGCATTTACCTGTTGGTCAAGTCAGCTTGGGTACAGACAGAGTGGCGAGTGCATTTACCTGTTGGCCAAGTCAGCTTGGGTACAGAGTGACCAGTGCATTTACCTGTTGGCCCAGTCAGCTTGGGTACAGACTGAGTGACCAGTGCATTTACCTGTTGGCCCAGTCAGCTTGGGTACAGACAGAGTGGCGAGTGCATTTACCTGTTGGCCCAGTCAGCTTGGGTACAGACAGAGTGACGAGTGCATTTACCTGTTGGCCCAGTCAGCTTGGGCACAGACTGCCCCTACAACAAAATTGTGGGTTTTATTTTGTGTCTCTAGATAAGAGTTAACTGGACCTAAAACCAGATACACCTAAATGTTCTCGTGTAATGCTGACCACTAAAGGCGGGCTGTGTTAAGTTGACCACAACACCCGACCAAGTGGCGATTGGTCTATAAAATATAGGTCTAGCCTGAAGGCACGCAAAAAGTTTTTTTTTTTTTTTTTTGAAACTTTTTTTTTACAAAACTGCCACAGGTTTCTGTACAGGCTAATCTTCCACACGCAGTCAAGGAAACATGTGCCTTATCTCCATTGCTGTGGTGGGCCAGTTCCCCATTTGGGTTCCAGAAAGAAGAAAAGGCATAGATGCCCTGCCCCTTAACAAGGGTGTGTTAATAGTAGACTAATTAGGGTTGTTTCATTCGAAGTTAAGAGTGAATCTGCTTGTGAAGTGAGGAACCAACAGTCTTCATAAAAACAACACAGATCTGTAAAACAGATGTGCATGCAAAAATCAGGTTTTGGAACAAGACTAAAGTCTGGAACTGCATCCACTGCTGTCATGGGGAATATTTTGTGGTGATGCCTCAATCTCTTCCATGGTGTGACTCTTTTACCACTGTCAAACAGTTTTGTTCTGAATCTCCTCTAGGACATCTAGTCTGGGTTCACTGCAAATTGTAAACGTTGAGTAACCTGCAGCTGCAGAGCTACTTACATGTCTGCATAGAATCAGTTCAACTCTTCTGTTTCTTCTTTTTCAGCATTCTCAACCCTTAGGCTTTATTGCTGCAGTCATCACCCGTTTCCTGATTGGCCATCTCCTTCCAGGTGGTGACTTGGTGTTTCTTCTTCTTCTTGGCGTTCAGTTTCTAATGTTCAGGTCATTATCAGGTGGGCTGCCTCTGTGAACTTCCATGTCAGTTGCAGGTCCTCCATGGTTTTCCCAGTTTGCTCTGCACACTTTGCTCTTGAGGCCAGGTTTGTCTGCATAGTTGTAAGTATAGTGGGCAGGCCTGCAAAATGTGTTCAGGTTTTTGTGGTCCCGTCTGACATGTAAACTGTGTGGACTAGTCTTGATTTGATGCATGTGGTGGCTGAGCCAGCAGTGTCCTGTTCTTGTACTGCTGTATATAGTTTTCTGTTGATTTTTACTGTTGGTTTGTTCTTTCCACGATTTCTTTATATTTCCCCTAAATAACTGATTCACTTTGTGTTAGTAGGTCTGCCTATTTATTTTCATTTTAATTATGAATTTCAGTGCCCCCAAAAATGACGTTTTTTTTTTTCCAACCATGAATTTGCAGAGCTACTTGTACCAGCTGTTAAAGGGAATCTCGTACTGTCACGCTCACAGAGTTTTACACCGAGACTTAAAACCCCAAAACTTGCTCATCGACATGGAGGGCAATATCAAACTAGCTGACTTTGGGTTGGCTCGCGCGTTTGGTGTTCCGGTGAGGACATACACACATGAGGTCAGTCAGTTTTAATTATGGTTGATTTTGTAGAAAGTTATATTGTTTATCAAAGTAATTAAGGGCCCTTTGGGAGTGAGTGAACAGTGAGAAGGTACAAATAGGTCATTACAGTCTGAGGAGAATAGCGTTGTAGGCAGTTACCAGGGGATTTTGTCGGCGCTCAACACTCAAGGGAAAGGCAAGCTAGATGTATAATCAGAGTTGCTGGTGCAGCCGGAATTGGAACTCTTCATTTTCTGCTGAAGATGGGAATGGAGCGAGTATGGGAGTGTCCGGAGTGCTATGATGTTGATTCTCAATTTAACATTCCAGGTTAAATGACATTTAGGTAGCTTAGAGATATGTGAATAGTTTATAATTTCATACTGCTGGAGTCCTAGGGTTCGTTTCCTGCGGTGGAGGAAGAACTGTCATTGTGCTTTTCAGATATAGGCATGAGAGTCGCACTGGAAGAGTGTTCGGGCCTGACATGTGGTATATGCCCAAAGACATCAGTGATAAGACTGTAGCCAGCCTTCATTGGCGAAGTCTTCATGTTGAAATGTTACTCATGATTTAGTTTTTGTATAGAGCTAGTCGGTCTCTGTGGCTTAGACATTGTGAATGAGCTTTGTAATTCCATGGTGTTGGGTTTGACCCTAGCTGCATGCAATTTAGCAGCTGGCCGCCTTGTATCCTTGTATTTGTTTAAATTGTGGTATCAAGAGCTGACCGTTCAGTAAACTGTGGCAAACTGCTTAACATAAAATTGCCCAGTGAAATTACAAGTGACAAAAGAAATGCTGGAGTGATGTTTCTGCAATGTCTTTTAAAGGATACTAAACTAACTTTGTGTAAAGCTGAATTTTTCCTTCCTTTCTTTGTTTTTATTGTATTTTCACATACTTCCCAGTTTTTTACTTTTCATAGTCTAGTTGTTCTGGTTGACTCTGTGCTAGATGTGTCTTGTCTAAAGTTTCAGTCCTGTGGCTATCAGTCCTGCATCTTTTCTTAGTACATGCCCTGCTGGCCTGGATATCTGAGATTCCTTTTATCCTTTCTTCTCTCTGGCACGTACACTACACACTTTCTTTTCTCTCTACTCCGCCCTCCTTTTTTTTTCTACCCCTCTATCCTTTTTATCTCCTCCCTTTTCTTGTCCCCTTCTCCTCTTTCTCTTCTCCTCTTTTTTCCTCTTCCCCTCCTTCCCTTTTTCTCTTCTTCTTTCTGCTTGCCTTTTCTCTCTCCCCGGCACCTCCCCTTATCGGTCCAAACATTCAAGATATTGTGTGTGTGTGTGTGTGTTGCACTTTGTATAAAAGACTTCCAAGTTGTTATGCTTTTTTTACTGGTTATATGTGAGGTTGTATTTTCTGCCAGGTTGTGACCCTGTGGTACAGAGCTCCAGAGATCTTGCTCGGCAGCAGGTACTACTCCACCCCGGTTGACGTCTGGAGTCTCGGCTGCATATTTGTGGAGATGGTGAGTTAAACACATGATTAAATCGTTATTACTTCAACTAACATGTGTTTTTCTTCATGCTTTGCTTTTAGAATAATCAGTGGGGGTCTGAATGGTTGCAGAAGTGGTCAGGATAGAGTCTCTTCATTCAGCCAGCTGGAAACATTGATAAGAATAATTGGATCTCCTGCATAATATAGGTCAAAAGTGTTGATTGTCCACATGTGATAAAAGGTATTATAAATGCTATTCTTCTGTTATTAATTAAAGAGCAAAAGATAAGGTTTGGCCATCTGACGAGAATGCCTGGTACCAACTGCCACAGAGAGTCATGGCTGAAGAAATATAGAGTTGAGTTGAGTCAAAAATTGACATCACAGCACTCGGGGCATTATGATGTGTGCTCTGTCCCCATCTTCAGCAGCCAGCTCAGAGTTCCAATATTGATGGTACCGGTCACAGTCTGGTTATATGTCCGTCTTGCCTTTCCTCTGAGCTGAAGGAATATAATGAACATAGAGCATGGGTAAGAGCATGCAGATGAAGAAGCAGCAGCATCAGGAACAGCCTGTACACAAATGTAGATTATCCTGTACATTACATCAGAAAGAGCACATATAGGATGTTGAGGTTCCCTGTATGGGTTCTGGGACCCATTGTGGGGAAAACAAGAATAGACCCATTGCCTTCCCATCAAGCATGTCTTAAGAGCCGACTGATTGGAGGCTTCTTTCGAAGTCAGAGTGTATCTGCCTGAAGGGCAAGGAACCAGCGGTCTGCATACAAATAGGTCAGATCGATAAAACGTGTGTACACAACACTCAGATTTTGGAGCAAGACTAAGTCCAGAGTTGGGCGAACAGCCAGAACTTTCCGCCGGAGATTACAGCTGGTCTACATGAAGAAAAAGAAGATGCTTATATCTCCCTTTCAATGACATATCTGTGGGCAGAGAAGACTTGTTCCTTCCTCACAATGTGGATTAGGGATATTGGTTGTCCGTCTGTGGCAGGAGATATAATAAATGGTAATTTATCGTCATATCCTCCACAATCTAGGTCAGAAGGCAGCCCTTGTTCCCTGGCGACTCAGAAATAGACCAGCTTTTTCGAATTTTCAGGACATTGGGTAAATGTTGTTTCTTGTGATGTTTAACACTCTTTCAAGTTTAAAAAAAAATTATTTAATTGTGTCTGCCTTAGCTGGAATATCTTTGTATACTGTGTTATTTTTGGATTCTTTTTTAGATTGATTTTTATCTTTTTGACAACTGATTTAAACAAAAAAATTGTTGTACAATAATAAATTAGTTGATGTGTCATAACCTAGAGGTGTCTATACCCTCAGCCTTTTAACAAGCAACTAGTGAAGGCAGTTGTAATTGATTCAGCTTCCAGAGTCGATTTGTTCTTCTTCTAAAAAATGACCTTGGCTTTCAGGTCCATCCAGCCTTAATTCTTTCGCTGCTACGTCCTCAGGCATAGCTGTCTGCCTTGTGCTAAGCGATGTGAAAAAAAAAGTCTTCTGTGCGCAATACTTTTCTATCCTCCAGCCGCAAAAGATGCGTCAATGGTGAGGGCTATATTTTGTACACCTAAAAATATTCACCCTAGAGTGTGGATGGCCCGAGTGTTCACAAGTCAGACGCACGACGGCAATGCCAAGAAAATTTGTCGTTACAGAAAGTAACCACTAGAAACTAGCTGTAAACCAGAACCTAATATACCTACTGCCGTTTCGGGGCGAACCCAGAAGTAGCAGTTATTTCATATTTACTTGTGATTGTTGTGCTATTGGTTTTGTTGAATTTTTTTTTTTTTCTTTCCCACATGTTTCCAGGAACTCCCGATGACATCATGTGGCCAGGCGTGACCAGTCTCCCCGACTACAAATCTACATTCCCCAAGTGGCCAGTCAAAGATGTCAAGTCACTGACCCCGACCTTGTGTCCAGAAGGCATAGATCTGTTACAGGTAATTTGCTGACGCTTGCATGCTCTCCCCATACCTGTGTAACATTTTTGCAGAAAATGCGTTGAGAAGTATTAGATACAATCAAATCATTGATAATTTTGATTCGTTCATAACAGTGGAAACCAGAAACAGTTTTTCTCTAAAGCAATTCTGTTTCTGCCTGTTAACTTTTTTGCCCCGGAATACTAAAGAAAAATATGTCTTAAACCCATGGGAATTCTTTAAAAAAATCTTTTTAAAAAACAAGTATTTTAATACATTTTGAATAAATTTATTTATCTACATTTTTCCACTTTATATATAAACATAAAGAGAGTAACCATAAACATGTACAGAGTGAAGCTTTAAATGAAGTACATTCTACAAAGCTTTAACAAACATGGATCTAGAGACTTACGCCTTGACCTCAATCACTGAAGCTTACGGGAAAATGTAACCACAACTTGGCTTTTTAAAAAGTCATTTAATTCATAAGGAGGTCCTTCCCCCACCTCACTAAGTGCTATTTTCAGAAAATATGTATTCCTATCTTGACCCACGAGATTAATCAGCATAATTAACTAGGTGCCTTGTAAACATGGCGTTCTCGACGAACCGGAACCTACCAGAAGTGAGGTGAGAAATGTTCAATCCCTTCTGGAAGTCTGTGATGAGAGCAGTTTTCAACAAAGAATTTTCTACCTGTTGGTGTTGGCTAGTCAGGGGGTCTTGGGATGGGGTGTAGACAGGAAACAGTTTTTCAAAGTGGGTTTAGACAGTTGTTTTGACTGTCTAGCCTTGGAATAGATATGAGAATAAATACGATACTGTCTTAATTTTAAGAGTTAATTTTGCATGGTTGTTATCATCTTGTTAGTAAATGTGTTTCATTTCTTTAATTATTGTTATCATTTCTATAACACTGTGGCTTAGGCGCTGAGAATGCACTTCATATTTCTGAAGTATCCGGTTCAGTTCCAGCTATGGACGATTTGACAGCAGACCGCATTATATTGATCTTGACATTGGTATCAACGATTGACTGTTCCGAAAGCCATGACAATCTCATCATCAACAAGGACCTTGCCAGTTGGCGTGGATGATCATGCTTCTACACAGTCTTAAATCTGCGGCTGTGTGTATCAGTTTGTTTGTTGACACCCCTTCATACCATCTGAAAGTGGTATTTCATTCACTTCCTTAGGGCCTACATTTTCTCTTATGGCAACTTCTTCATTGTGTATGGTTTCGTATGCCCAAATCAGGTGGGCTGCCAATGAATTTGCATGTCAGCTGCGGGTCCTTCATGGTTTGCCATAACTTTCTCTGGACTTTTAGATCTTGCTGCCTGGCCCCTGTCGCCATTGGAATTAAACAAAAAGAATATCGAGTTTTCCTAAATGACACAGCGCAGTATTAGAAAACAGTGCAGATGGCCTCAATAAAATAAGAATTTTATGACATGTGAACATGCAAAGCGGAAACAATACTTATATAAATTCGATAGCCACGCCTGCAGCCTGCCGCCAAATTGCCGCTCAGGGTGCCACAATGGTTATATATATATATATATATATATATATATATATATATATATGCCATGTATGTTAGTCCTTATTACCAGACCTGACTACAGGTTATGTCAATGTGGGTACATACTGTCTTATGCAGTTGAACAGGTCTCGAGGATTTGTACCTCTTTTATTCTCATCCCTGAGGTGTTAATCCTACAGCAATCCTGGAAGACCTAAACCGCCTACCCTACCCTGGATTAGATTGACATTTTTGACAGCCCACCCTGATTCTTCCACGGTCACTGGTGGGCAGTGGCCCAGGAGTTGAAGAACACTGCTATAAAGGATATGCAGCGAAATTATTTCAAAATGACTCTCTCATTGCCTCTTCGACTTTTTCTGACCCACCCAGTTTAGTCCTGTTTCACTAAAGCTGAACTATATTTGGACTCAATCGGACTCCTGGTCGACCGAGCCTATGGTGGAAGTCCTGGGGAAGTAAAGGTGGCCGGCATGATGCTGACCTCACCATTCACCAAGTGCCGATTGGTCTATAAAATAATGTCTAGCCCTGTATGCCTGAAGGTGTAGAAAAGGGTCCTTTACTTGTGTATTGAAACTCGGACCACATCGCACCAGGCCTGCACAGATAATCCACTTGGTTTCTCAACCCTCCACAGAAAATGCTGACCTATGAACCCAGTAAACGGATCTCCGCCAAGACAGCCCTGCTGCACCCATACTTCCTGGGAGTGTGCCTCCAAACTCCAGGAGGAGACACGTCCAAGTAGAGTCCCGGCATCATCCAAGAGCAACTGTAAATACTCATCTGCTGGATCTTGGGTCGGATCTAGTCTGTGGATAATTTTATGCATTGTTTGCGAATGTTTGGTTGCATTTCTCTGCGAGTGTTTTTTGACTGAATATTCTCTCAAGGCATAATCTGTTTAAAAGAATATTTGATTTTATTTAAAGTAATGAAAGAGTTGTGACTTATTTTTGTGTGTTGTGAATACAGGGTGTTTCAAATAGAAAATCAGCATTGTGATGGTGGCAAACTTTTGTATTGTGTGAGTTCAGTGTTTGATTTGTGATGTGTAAGCTGCCAGTTTGGACACATTGTATATTATCATCCTATGAACAGTGATTTGTTGTGCACATTAAGTTATATGTTGGGAGAGTTGAAATGTTTAGCCAAGGGTGTTTGGTCTTGAATGAGTTGACACATTCAATCTTGAGAAGTTTTCACTCTTGATTGAGACAGTTGCAGCTTTCAGTCAGCAGACAGGTGACTTGCTGTGAGTTTGTACCCAACTTGATACATATTCTGTTTTATCCGTCTGCTTCTTCATCTTCCTCTGGTTCTTCTGCACCTGTCCTTAAATGGGCAGCATGTTGCGTTGTTGTTTACAGCTAGGCTGCAATATCTGATTTTCAACCCAAAGCCTAATTTTTACATGCTTGTTAGGCAGCGGTGCATCTATTCTCTCTCTTCCCACCCACCCCTTTTTCTGCATGAGGCACTAGAAGCAACTTGGTTATTACCACTGTTCCGCTGCTAGAGCTTAATTGATTACGGAGCATGGAACCTTGCTCTGTCTTAACCACTTTATCGCTACACATTTGAGTGAAATGATACCTATGTTTTTCTGCCTTAAATAGCCAGCAGCTTGTTCAAGCACTTTGTTTTCTGTCTTGGCACAGCTAGAGTAAATCAGCTGTTCATTTTTGTTGCCAAAAAATCCAAGCAATACAGTGCACATAGTTCATTGTTTAAATTTTTTTTTAAGTCTTCGTTTTCAGTCCATGCTATTGCTGGCGTCTACTTGGAGTCATTTCCAGGCTTCTAGCCAAAGCAGTCACATACAATATTTTTGTTTTTCAAACTAGATCCTTATTGGGTAGTGAACACAGGGCTCACAGTATAGGAGACAGCCATTCCGACTCCTGGTGGTTACTTTAGTGGCTGGTTCATAGCAAACGTCACTAAATTGATATGTGGTTTTTGGGTTGAAATGGCAATAAAACAAAAACATGGTGTAAGCATATGCCTGTCACAATAATAGTGCACTGGTTGGTAAGCAGGCTTTCTGGCACTGTAGTTCCAATTTCAGATTCCAGCAGTGACAGTTTTCCTCCTGGCTGTACTTTCATCAACCTGGCCTCAAAATAGGTGACCAGACTGTTTGGAGAAACAGTGAATAAGTCCCTACATACATCTGTATGTTAGCCTTAACCCAAGGTCTGCAGTTCACCCAGTGTCTACCTTAGACTTCCTTTATTCTTCATTCACTTCTAATCCACACACACACACACACAGCATATGAAGTTTCTACTTTCCCACTCATGCTGATCTTTGCATTACTTTTCTTCATGTATTTTCTGATCCTACACTCAATACATATGAGGTCCTACACACTTGCCTGTTTCAAAAAGCTTTCTTCTATAAAGTCTGTATTTTCTTGCCTTGCATTTACCTTTTGTCTCCTCAACCAAGTTATCTTATTGCAGTCGCCTATAGTTTCATTTCCCACTACTTCTTTTTTACATTATAGAAATGAAGGTTACAAGGTGCAGACACTGTTCTGTTATATACAGTATGACAATATGGATTAGAAAAACAACACGCTGCTGTGACCAAAGTTGTGGAAAAACTTGGTGGCTTATGTCGTTGCAATTATTTTCTTTGCTTGGATTGTGCACCAGGAGTACCTGCCTGTTTTCCTACTGCTCATGTTAAAAAGTATCACAGAGAGGGGTTATATGTTGTTTCCTGTTTTTGCTAGTTGCATAGCTTGTGTTGGAGAACAAGATCACAAGGGAGAAATATTACCAAAGAATACCACCTCAAGATTGTGCACTGCCTTTGTGATGTCGTGCAAAGCTTACGGCAGGACAAAGGGTCTTGCAGCTCCATCACTGTTCACACCTGATTCAGATTTTCTTGGCCTAGCACATTTCTCTGCATCCACAAGGGCTGCTTACTCTCCCAATATAGATAAATCTTCGCTGTCCAGCAAGCTGAAAATGCTCCTGAATGGGAACAGATTCCAATCACAAGAAGACAACCTAGATGTACATTCTTAAAAGACCTTCCTTTATTGCTCCCTATAATGGCGGTAACACTGAAAAAAGTGTGTGGTGCCAGAGGATTAGGGTTTGAAATCTCCAGGTGTTTAATGATGTTTCCTGGATAAACAGTTGGATACTATGTGAAGAGACCTCAACATTGTAAAAATCATCCCAGAAAGGTAAAGTTCCATAGCTAGATGAAACAATCCCAGACTTGAAGTTAGTGGAATTTATGCATCATCATATAGCAGGTCCTACAGCAGGCAAGGTGTCTCTTAGGTCCTGTACTGCTCTTTGTGCTGGTTGGCCCCTCCACTCGGTGATAATGCTGTGTATGGGCAACTTTTCCTTGATGTTAAGATGATTCCATACAAGGAAGAAAACTAGATTTAGGCTTCACCTTGTGAGTTCTGGAGCCCAATAATGGGGAGATGATTCCATACAAGGAAGAAAACTATAGATTTAGGCTTCACCTTGTGAGTTCTGGAGCCCAATAATGGGGAAAACAAGAATTGGCTCTCTAAGAAGCATGTCATAAGGGTCAAATAATTGGGATGTTTCCTTCCAAATCAGAATGCATCTGCCCAAGAGGCAAGGAGCCAACCCACAACATACAAATAAGCGAGATATGTGAAATGGATGTGCAAACAACATTCAAATTCTGGAACAAACCAGAAGTGGACAAACAACCAGAACTTTCTGCCACTTAACAGCTGGTGAACGCAAAGAAAGAAGGAAATATAGGCTGATTCCAACCAGAGGAAAAGATTCTCAGATCAGACAAGTGGCCATCTTCAGAAAGTATGTCGGTTGTAATGAGTACACTGTACACTGCACAGCCTTTCCCTTGCCATAAGGTTGCAGTCTAAACTTCTTCATTCCCACCATTTGTTCATGTAATCCTTCTTCATTTCTACCATTTGTTCATGTAATCTTCATTCCTACCATTTGTTCATGTAATCCTTCTTCATTTCTACCATTTGTTCATGTAATCCTTCTTCATTTCTACCATTTGTTCATGTAATCTTCATTGCTACCATTTGTTCATGTAATCCTTCTTCATTCCTACCATTTGTTCATGTAATCCTTCTTCATTCCTACCATTTGTTCATCTAATCCTTCTTCATTCCTACCATTTGTTCATGTATCCTTCTTCATTCCTACCATTTGTTCATGTACTCCTTCTTCATTCCTACCATTTATTCATGTAATCTTCACTGCTACCATTTGTTCATGTAATCCTTCTTCATTCCTACCATTTGTTCATGCAATCTTCATTGCTACCATTTGTTCATGTGATCCTTAATTTCTACCATTTGTTCATGTAATCTTCACTGCTACCATTTGTTCATGTAATCCTTCTTCATTCCTACCATTTGTTCATGTAATCCTTCTTAATTTCTACAATTTGTTCATGTAATCTTCATTCCTACCATTTGTTCATGTAATCCTTCTTCATTCCTACCATTTGTTCATGTAATCCTTCTTAATTTCTACCATTTGTTCATGTAATCTTCATTCCTACCATTTGTTCATGTAATACTTCTTCATTCCTACCATTTGTTCATGTAATACTTCTTCATTCCTACCATTTGCTCGTGTGATCCTAACAGCCATCACCAGAAACTGAATTTAGGCTACGGCAGAACCATGACTGAGGAGAAGAGAGGAGGAAACAGCACTAAAGGACATACTGAGAAAGCATAAAGATACTAGAATGTCCTTACACCGGAACCAACACTAAAAGAGATGAAGGGAGACCTCAAAATACATTAGAAAGAGAGAAACCATGAAAACACACAACATGGAAAATTATGGGATAGCTTGAGAGAGTCTATGCTTCAATGGGAGAACAAGTACCAAAGAAGAATGCTTTCCTCCTATTACCTTCAGTTTTCTCAAGCACAGTTTTACAGATTTGCTTAAACTATTTTTGTTTTTCACCCAATGTGTATGTATAGGCTGCTGTAGTTCTTTGTTGTTATTGTCATGTTTCCATCTTTCTAGACAACAGTATTATGTTATGATGCAGAGAGCCGTTGAGAATCACAACCCATGGTGATGTCGAGTGTGACTAGCAAAGACTAGCTCATGTTAAAACAGTTTTCCCTATAATGAATGAATAAGATTTCAAGACCATATTCTCACCATCGCATGTTCTCAGATATTCACCTATTAACCTTTGTGAATGATTTTTCTCCTTTGTCTTCCCTTCCTCCGTGCAACACAATCAATGGAATCATGTTCCCACAATTCTTCTCTTCTTCATGTTCACCGGCTGTAAACTCCAGAGGAAAGTTCTGGTTGTTTTGACTTTAGTCTTGTTCTAAAAGTTTTGCATGCACACACATTTTGCATATCTGGCTTATTTGCATGCAGACTGTTGGTTTATTGACTCTCAGGCAGATGAACTCTGAAGGAAATAACCCCTGATTAGTCGACTTTTATGACATGCTTGTTAGGATGACAGTGGGCCTGTTCTCACTTCTCCCTCCTCCAATTGGGCCACTGAACCCAGACAGGCAGTTCCCATTATTCAATCTCAACAGCTGTTTGTCCATTCCTGATATGATGATATAACTGTTAGTTATTTATTACTGATATTCTCCATCCTTATTTCACCATGCTGTAAATGTGTATATACAGTTATAACATGTTACTGTTATCCACTGGATGAAATATTCAGTGATGTTGTTATGTTAATTAGACAACTTCAGGT